AAAAAAAAAAAAATTTTGGAGATGTTTTTTGGGGTGTTTCTCTCTTTTATAATCGACCACCAACGGTGCCGAACTAATTCACGTTCATTTGACTCATTTGTCTACTTTTTTTTTTTTTGAAATAAAGTTTTTGATGATATCTATACAAGAGGGGTTGTTTTTTTTTCAAAGGGTAGTTTTTTTAATAGTGAGAAGAAGTAATTAACTTTTTGCATTAGAACGCGCGCGTTTACAATTCTGTGTGCTCTCTTATGTTTTTTTTCTCCTTTCTTAACTTTCATTCTTCTACTTCGGGCTAGCTATCTTCTATTATTCACTACCTACTTATTATTTTATAATAATAATAATAATAATAATAATGATGATGATTAGAAAAAATTGTGAAAGTTTTACGAGGATTTATTCGCAATTTCATAACCAATTAAAACGATCGCCATTTTAATTTTTTATTTTCATCAGTTATATGCTAATTTTTTGTGATGAATTGTCATCATCATCATCATCATCATCATCTTTCCTATCATTATTATTATTATTATTATGTTTTCAAAAAAAAAAAAAACATTAAATACAAATTTACTCGTAGTACAATCATCATCATCATCATCATTATTTTTATACCTTTAGGGTTAAATATTTTATTTTCGGGTCTTTGAATTCGCATTAACTAAAAATATATGTTATTGTTTGTTTGTTTGTTTGTTTGTTTACACGAAACAGGAATTTTATAAAAAAAATAATTATTTAACTAAAAAATAATAGAAATATTTTGTCGTTGTTGTTGTTGTTTGTATTGTTTTGCGGTTATAATGATTTCCGCTTTTTAAAAAAAAAAAAAAAAATAATATCTTGGTAAATTTGGTTGTTTTTATTTCCGTCAATAATCGGTGGCGCTGCGGACATCCCGCCTATTTGGCCCTTTCTGTTTGCTAGGTAATTGCCTTTGGGTCACGCGATGTATCTGAGTCAGCTAGCTCAGAGCTCGACCAAGGGGTCACAATTACATCTTCGCCTCTTTTTTTTTTTTTTTTTTTTTTCCATTCTATTCTACAAAAGGTCATTATTTTATTTTTATTTTTATTTTTTTTTTTTTGTACATAAACGAAATTGGTTTGGTTTTTACATGTTTCGGATACTACGTATTACGTTTTCTTAAACAACTAATTTTCTTTTCTCTCTCTCTTCCCTCGAGTCCCTTAATTCTTTCAAAATAATGATTTTTTCTCAATTTTTTTAAAAATGTAATTTAACTAAAATAAGTAAGAAAAAAAAAGAGCAACCGAAATAAAAACAAACAACAACAACAACAACAAACGGTGGTTGTTTCCATGTTTATGAAAAGAAAATTATATAAATGAAAATTTATCATATTGTTTTAAGTAATTATTATTATTATTATAATAACGGGATGGAAAATACATATATGAAAAGCTTTTTTTAATTTTCGATGCTTATAAAATTAATTAATAATAATAATAATAATAAAATTTCGTTAGGAAAACTATCGCGTAATGGAAGTGAAAATTTTTTTTTTTTTTTCGGGTAAGATAAGTATAGAAATAAAATTCGTTAAAAAAAAAAGAAAATCATTAAAAATATAAACTAATGCGATATACAGTAATAATAATAATACGCCATTGTTAGGGAAAAAAGAAGATGAAAGGAAAAATAAAAAATAAAAATTTTCCTTTTTTTCTATTTTCCGGCTGGAAAGTCGAGGGGGTATTGAACACATGCGCATAAAAGGAAAAAACCTCGACCCCATGGCGCCTCTTCATAGCAACAATCTTGATGCCATTTTGTATTCAAAAAAAAAAAAAAGAAAATAATGCAGTAACTTTAACTAAAAATTCAGTTACTTCCTTTTTTTTAAAAACGCCTCGGTTTACCCCTCGTGACGTCATTGAATTTCCCTTTTAGAAAATTCCTATCGATTAAATAAAATTTGAGTATGTGAATATGAAAAAAGAATTTTTTTTTTCGAATTGTTTGTTTTTGTTGGCAACACTTTTTTTCGTTAATTAATATTAATAACCATTTTGATAAATGAATTTTCTTAGTGCCACGTTTCGGACATCCTTTTATTACCATTTCGATTATTTTATTCCCACGTTTATTTATTTTAATAATAATAATAGTAATAAATAACAACATTAATAAAATAATAGAACGAGTAACGTACGTATAATAAATAAATAAATTTAACGGTTGATTGATAAAACAAAAAAAAAAAAAAATTTTTTTTCAAATGACATAATAATAAAATAAGTCGGAAAATGATTGTCGATATTAAACGGAAACTTTAAGGGAATAATAATAATAATAATAATAATTTGCACGAACCTTTTATTTATTTATTTATTAATATTAGATTTTAATAAGTTAAATAATGCGTCGCATTTAACAAAAAAAAAAAAAAAAAAAAACGATTTTCTACAATAAAAATCATAAAATTCGAGTCGGGCGTTATTTGCGTTATAAATTAATATGAAAATTAAATTTAATATATTAATAATAATAATAATAATGATGATGATGATGACGTGGAATTCGTTTTTAAATACCCACAAAATTATTTTTAAAACATTTTTTATTTTTATTTTTATCGAGTTTGGATAAGTTTAAACCGTTTTTTATTTTTTTTTCTTTCCTTCTTTCTTTTTATTCTAAAAAAAACAATTATTTACGCTAAATAAAAATACGTTAATAGAAACAATTATAGAAAAAATTCTAGAAAATTCTTTTTTTTTTTTTTTTTTTTTTTTACATGAAATTATAATTATCATTTAAAAAAAAATAAAAAAAATTAATTTTTCTAAACAATTATTTCAAAAAAACAAAAAGAAATTATTATTATTATTATTATTATTATTATTATTATTATTATTATTATTATTATTATTATTATTATTATTATTATTATTATTATTTTATTTTATAATTGATACGGGTAAAAAAAAAAAAAAAAAAACGTTTCATAAAAAATTCATTTAACGATAATTGAAAGTAAATAAGAATATATTAATAAAAGAGTAATTAAACTTTTATGAAAGGTATGCCATGTATCAAATAATATTCGTTCGTATTAAATGAATAAATAAATAAAAACATTTTCTACTTCTACAAAATAATAATAATGATAATTGTTTTCTCTATTTAAAATTTTTTTGTTGTTAAATAATAAATCCTATACGAATTTTTTTAATTACTTAAAAAAAAACGAATTTTTATTTATGTTTCGTC